GTGTCTATAACTAAATAGAAGCTCTTGTGTTGTACTTCGTACTTAGCGCACTAACCGCGTTGAAATGGGGTTTGCTCACCCCCGCCGACCCCCTAGCACAGCTGCTCTTTTATTTTATTTCTGTGTTGTTTTTTTTTGCACAGAAGATAGAGCTAACTGAATTAACTTATTCTGTTTCGCCATAATAAATTCCATAGCATTCTTTATTTGCATATTAAAAAGCAAATAAATGCTAAACAGCAGAAGAGCAGACGTTGAAGGAGAAGAACTAGAGTATGTTTTAGTGCTGGCTGGGTTAGTAAAAAGTTGAGTTGGTCATGTGCCTGATTCTACGAGTGTGTATATATAGAGTGTAGTGTAATATAATGCAATCAGGTCTAATTGAGCGGCAGTCGAGGGTCTGGTATGTGGAGCACTACAATGAAACTAATTTGCTGTCAATAATTTGTGGGTTACCAGGTGACAGATGGCAATGCATTTACTAATGCCGGGGTACTTATGGAGAGTACTTATGGAGAAAGAAAAAGAAAGCACGATCATTTATCGCCTTTGGGGGCAATTTCCGTTAATGGTCGAAAATAAACAATATTTCCCAGCTCGTAATTTGCCAAAATCTTCGCCGTAGATTTGCTTCCTTGCGGAAAACGAGCCAAAGCAGAAGAAAGAAGCCTGGGACCTCGACTTATATCGAGATTTATTTGCACAATTCCGGTTTTGGGTTTTGCGCTTCCCTCTCTCTCTTGGTATCTCTCTTTTTTTTCGTATTTTTTGTATATTTCAATTTTTACGACCACTATTTGCTATGTGCCTGACTCTTCTTCTTGCTCGCAGGGACAGATCCTCAATAGGTGTGAGTTGGTGTTGTCCCTATCCAGTAAACCAAAGGAAGTTCAAGACAGAACGAGATGGAACCAATACTATATATTATATGGTGAGACAGCTGTTTCCCGAACTGAAGAACTTTTGACACTGAACCAAAGAGCCGTGTTTCGAGCTCCGCTGTTAAGTGGCGCCCACAGTGGAGCCCCAATTAAGACGAATCTATCGGATTATGTTGTCCATTGACACTGACACAGTGACTCGCCGAAAATCAATAATCTTTAAGGCAAATTGCAATCATATGTGGGCTAGTTGGCTGCTTATTATTAACGATGTTTCCGCCTCTTTCACAATTCGTTTCGCACAATTATCGCCGTTTCGTTTTCGTTTGGCCTAATCACTGGGGTTTTGTTTAGCATTTCCAATTACCGATTGTTGTAGCAACTGAGGCAGTTTAAATATATTATAAGCGTTGCCCACAACAACAACAACACAAACACAGAAAAACGCGACGCGCGCAGCTGAGCGAAGTTTGTTTTGTGTCTCCACTCCACGGTGGTTTTTCAAATCCAAAAAGCGACTGAACTTGAGCGCGTTCGCAGGGCAACTGAAAAGCCTCAAAAAAGACGTTGGAGCAAGTAGAAGGCAGCGCCAAAAGTGCAAGAAGAAGCGGTCGAGAGAGAGAGAGAGGGAGAGACCGCGTAAGAGAGAGAGCGACCACTACGTAAGACTAGACGCTCAGGTACAAAAAGACTGGGCACAGTGGGCTGCACAGGGTATTTGAAAACAATACACTTTAAATTTTTTAGTACAATGTAACTTAGTTCAGACACTTCCCCTAAAATGGCCAACACAGAGCCAACATTGCTTCTGGACAACAGGGCGGATGAAAATATTTGAAAACCATATGAACACGGTTTTAAAGGTAAACAATGGAGAAAGATATATTCAAGGGATTCATAAATGAGAAAACTGGTTGTCAAGTTTAATTTCCCAAGTACCATCAGTAAAAGTGGAAAAAAATGTATACAAGGACATACCCAAGTTAGAATAATATTTTTACCGGTCCCTATCCTTCTGACGTGGTTGAAAGGAGCCACATTAAAAAAGATGAAAACATATATTTTTTTTAATATTTATATTTTACCAACCAAATACGAGATGAAGCCCACCGTGGTTTATCTTACTATATCTCGTATGGTGTTTTACGTATGGAACTCGTAAGACGCCAAGACGTAAGGAACTTGGGGCAGGTTGCGAGCGTGGTGAGTTTGGCGTGTTTTCAGCGTGTTTAACGCGTGTGTGAGTGTGGTCAGGTAAGTGTCTGCAACATTGTGAGTACTAGGTGTTTGCCTCTCTAATTGAACATGCACTACAAAAAACAATGTGTAACTACATAAAACAACATTCCTTTGAGAAAAATAAAATAAAATGTTTCAAGAAAGTTAGGAAGATGTTTTTCTAATCACTATACATTTTATCAAGAGGATGTAGAGAAAATGGTCCTGTTAAAATGAGTTTAGGATAAGAAGTACTTTAACAACATTTTTGAGTGGTATTTAATTTTCTTTAATTCTTTTAAGGCTTTTTCTCGCAGTGCGCAATGCAACTTGCAAGTGCTCCCCATGCGTCCTAAAAATAGCTCGGCGGGCAGCGCGTGTGCCACAATTTGGCGTTATCGTTGATGGAGCGTTAGCCTATCATTAGCCGGGCTTTATGCAGGCACTGCAGCTCTCCCGCTGCTCGATGGGCGCTGACTTTTGGCGGTGGGTGTGTGGTTGCAAGGTTTCGATTACGGGCAATGAATTTTGGGTGCAGGCAGCAGATTTACAAGTGCCATTGGGAGGGAAACCGGTGGAGGAGGTGGCCTACTAATCGTGGTACTTAATTGCAAGTTGATAGTGGGAAATGCCAATGGTTATGGCAAGGAATAGTAAATATCTCAGCAAATTGTTTATTGAAATATTTTACTCAACATAATTAGACACATTTAGAGAGATCATGTCGTGATTAAGTACTTTTAAAAGTACTTTTTATGTTTAATTTTTTTTCCATTTTCAAATTGGGCATTTTTACAATGCATATCACACAATACATAGGTAATTCGGTTCCCCGAAAACAAAACCCTACCCATTTTTTCTAACTCCACAACTCCGGATTTTCCCAAGTCCCATAAAACCCGACAGTCGCTTAGACAATACCCCCTCATTATCAAACGTCGGTTCAAAGCTTAAAAAGTGAGTAAGCTCCATAAAAACAGTACAAGAACTGATAATATAGTTGTCTCTGGTTGAAAACACCACAATCGCCTTGAAAAAAAACCAAGACAGCATCCGTAGGAGAAGGGGGTCTTCGTAAACCTGAGTCATCCGCAGATCGTCGCAATGTTTTTGATGTGTTCATTTGTTTATTTTTTCGCAGCTGCGATAAATGAAACTAAATGTCTCTTATAATGTAATTTGGGTAATTTCTGCTTGTGCTTTTGCTTTGGTTTCACGCATCATTGCCATTTGCTATTTTTGGTTCACGACTCATTTGGGTTCAGAGGTGAGAACACAGAGCTTTTCTAGGGAATCTCCGTAGGCATTTTTTTATGGCGAGTTGAATGTACTTTCGATTTTTAATGTTCGGCAACGCTTTTTATGACCACATTTGGCAGCACAAAGTCAACAATTGCTTTAATGTATTCTGTACATAAGGAGCGAGATGAATATACAAATATTTGCAATCGAAATTTGCCCCTCGCTCGAATATATTTTTACAGTTATCACTCTGGCAGCGACTTCTTTCCGCCTTGATTTGACTTAATGTTCATGTTAATTGCATTTTGACCCATTTAGCCGAGAGTTGTTCTCGTTCCCCAGACCTTGTTGGTGTTAATATGTGTTGTTATTTTGTTGGCCATCAAACTGGAGCGCGACTCTGGATCTGGATCCGCCATCCGAATCCGGGGAAGGAAGCCCCAAAACCGTCGTCTGAATGTAATTAAGATAAAATTTGTGTGCTCATGTTTTTATTCTCTTTGCTGTTCCGCATTTTGTTCTGACGTCGCTGCACTTTGTTGTATTTGCATTTACACTCGGTTTTCAATGGTATTACAGGGGTATATGAGGTCTATGGGTAGCACTTAGAACCCATAAATGACTATCAAGGGTACTGCAGTCTATCATTCCTCTATTAGGCACTTTTAACCTAAGATTACCTAAATCAAAATAATTTTTATTTTGAGGGAATTGGTTTATATACCATGTGTCATATGGTATTTTTAAGATCTTAGGTGAGACAAAAGTTTAACCGTAATATTTTCGATCATATTCATTTGGAAATGTACCAACTATAGGTATCGCTTAGTCGACTACTTGCTCACAGAGTTCTTATTGTTTGTGATTTTTCTTATTTTCAGAATACCACAGAGCCTGCGAACCGCGGCTGACTCACAGACCGGCGACCCCTCGACTGCCACAGCCACTTGAGGGCTGTCACTCAAGACCGAATCTGGCTGGCGATGCCGGAGGTGATAACTGCACCACTGCACCACCGCACCACCGCACACAATTAAGTGTGGGTGCGCACCTCGGCTCGCCCTGGTTGGCCCTTTGTCATTCCAGGTATTTAAATCGAACGCCCAGCTGCAGGTAAGCGATACGGGGCGGTGAGTGTCAAAAGTTCTGCGATAAGTGAAAGGCTCGAGGGGAGTGGGTCCTTCGGCCTTATCAATACATCTGCCGATAAGCGAGGTCGCTGAGTAATTAAATCTTGGGAATATATTTCCTATAGGAAATGAAGGTGTAGCTTTCTGAGAAAGTTTGGTGAGTTATCAAAACATAATCAGAATGAGAACCAATACATAGCTCGAAAAGTATTATAATCATATCTTCATTATTAATTTTTAATATTTAAGTAAGTCCAATAAAATATATATACTCCTTATGTTAATCTTAAGTTTTGGACAATTTAACATGATTATGTTCAGGGTAGTCAATAAAATACGTAATGCCTGGAATACTAATATGCCCTATGGAATATATACTCCTCCAACAGAGGGTATCTGTATAAATAAACTAAAGTGTGGGCGGCAGTCGATATAACGCAACAAGACGGGCAGGCTGCCAAAACGCTTGCAGTCTATTCTGAAATTGGGGGATTCCAAGGGGCTGGTGGTTGGGTGGTTGGACACTTACCCTGCGTTGTTGCTGTTGATGTTGATGTTGTTGTTTGGGTGGCTCGTAAAAGCTGCTACCATTCTCCAACCACTCGACATCGCTGCAAGATCAAAAGACAGAGATTAACAACCACATGTTGAGCAAATTCACCACACAACAAACGGAAAAGCTCTCTCTGAAAGCTTTTTCTTCGTCATTATTTTCCCGAACTTATATCTGTGATGAGTTTTCCTATATCTAAGTATTCCTCTCAGAGGTGGGTGCCAAAAACTTTCACCTGAAGGAATTAGTATCTATTTACTATTAACCTTGTAAGTTGACAAAAATACTATATATACATTGACATTTAGGTTTTCCTATTTACTAAAAAACTGTTTCCTGAGCATTTTTTAAGATCATAAGAAATATTATAAGCACTTAAGCTTATACGGTTATTAAAAAGATATTTAGTTAAAGGTAAAATATAGCTCGAGTAAACAAATTCCTAGATTCTTAAAAAAAAATTGAAAATAAAAAACACTTTATGCGTTATTAATAAATCCGACTTGAATTAACCTCGACTATTATATATCAGGATATATAAAAAAAACACATCCGAACTCATAGGGACTAAAAAAAACTATATCCGAACTCACCGCTGCATTCGTTGGATGACCGGCAGTTGGGCGGTGCTGTCGTGGATCCGCACCTGGTCTGGAGTCACCTCCTCGAGCAGGAACATGTTCTTGCTGGCCAAGGGGGTCAATTCAGCCTCGGCGGGATTGGAGTTCCCGTAGAAGAGCGGACTGAGGGGACGACAAGCCCCTCCCAGTAACTCGTCGATGTTCTGATGCCGCGAGATGAAGAGCTTTTCGCCGGCCCGCCGAGTTTGCGGTGAAAATCGTGGCTGCAGGGTGGTCAAAGTGGGAGTGGGTTGTTGTTGTGGTGGTGGCTCCTGCACTTGCGACCTTGGAATGTTGTCATAGGGCGAGGGGCAGCGCACGGGACTGGCACACTGACCCAGGGGCGGCGGACGCTCGGAGTAGGCATTGAAATTGAAGGAGGTGCTCAGCTCCTGCGATGCCAGTGTGGGTGGTGGTGCCAGTCGCAGATCCACTTCATCCCTGGAGACCACACCTGGCTGCTCTTCATCATCACTGCTGGGCTGTTGAACTGGAGGCTGAGTGCTCTCCGTATCCTCCTGCAGCCACCAGGCTCGCTCCCCGGACTCCCAATGCTTGATGATTCGCGGTGGAGGAGTGGGTGGCTTCACTGGCGGTGGTTCGTTCTCTTTTTCCTGCGGAGGTGGCTCCTCGGGTGCCTCCTCCTGCCACCAGGCTCTTTCGCCGGACTCCACGCGCTGTACATTGAACATCTTTCTAGCGGGTCCGGATAGCCACCAAGGATTGGAGCCACCACTCTTGGAATTAGCTCCACTCCTGGAAGCACTACCCTTGGAGCTCCTTTGGCTGCCATTCGAGGGTAATCTTAGGGTCACCTCCACATGTGGCTCACTATTGTTGTTGTTAAGATCGCCATTCTCCCTAGGGGATTCCTGAGCCTCCTCTTCCTCCTGCAGCCACCAGGCATCCTTCTCCGGCGTTATCCTGCTCCTGGGCATCAGCTTTACCTGACTGCTGGAGTCCTCCTGATCCTCCTGACTCCACCAGGTTGCCTTGCTCGGCTCCTGGGCATCGTCATCTAGGGTATTAAGGGTCTCCTCCGCTAAAGTGTCATCATCATCGCCGTTTTCATCCTGGCGCAGCCACCAGGCCTGCTCCTCCCCAGAATCAATGTGCCTTAACCTATAAGGAGGCATCTCTCCTCGATTATTTTGATCCAAAGCAGAGGCCGTGTTAATCTGCAGGCTGGTATCCTGCCACCAACTGGGATCTTCCTGCTCGGAGGTTGTTAAACTGGCGGTGGTGGTGGTGAGACTCGTGTCCTGGGTGGTGCTAACCGTGCTGGTGGGTAACCTGGTTCCCGTTCCCGTTCCCGTAGAGCTTTCTCGTGGACACCGTGTGCTCGAACTCTGGGAATTCGTTGGGGGTGAGGGTTTCGCTTCGCTCGATGGCGTCGTTCGCGGTTCGTTCGTTCGCAAATCTGTTGTCAGACTGATTCCCGAGATTTTCGAGATCTTTGAGATGGCCGATATGCCCGAGATCACGGGCAGCGAAAGAGCCTCCGGTTCGCCCGAGCTCTCGGAGCTTTCGAGGAAGATCGGCTCGTTATTTGCGTCTTGCTGACGGCTGGCGAAAAAATTCGATACCGCCGATAGCTTCTTCAGTCTTGTCTGTGTCGCTGGCACCACTTCAACCTCGGCGGAGGGTGATTCAGTGGTGCTATTTGGCTTGTGGGCGGCGGCGACGACCTTGCCTGCACCGCCTTCTTTGGTGCTCTTCTTTTTGGCCTGCTTTTTCACGGTCTTCACCCGCTGCTCGCTGTCCGAAGCGGAGGCAGTGGTCGAGGATGAGTTGCCAGTGGTGGTTTCACTGCAGGATTTGTGACTCTTTGGCTTTGGACTTCCTGGCACCTTGCCATTGCTTAGTTTGGTGGATTTCTTCGAGGAAGCAGAGGCTAGACTTCCCTCGGATCCAGCACTAGGTGACCTTTCTAGGCTACTGCCGTTGGGCAGATCCTCGGATTCTCCACCACTGCTGGGAGTTCGGGATTTCCGAGGCCTATCCGTAGGACCCACATTTAGAGAGGACTTGCGGAAATCCTTGTTGGGCCACTTGACCGCTGAACTTCCTGAACTGGAACTGCAGGTCTTGGTGGGTGAGTCCGCCTTGCTAGGTGGTGCAGGTGGTTTGTTGACCAGATTTTCCACTGAAGATTGCCTGGAGTTCAAGCGTATTGCCTTTGGCGGTGAAAGCTTGGACTTCGTGGACTTTGAGGAGGATCCATTTGTTCTAGGCGGGGATACGGCTTCTGGAGACTTTGACGATGAGTTAGGAGACCCATTACTTCTGGCTGGAGATAGGGCTTCATTTGATTTCCCTGAACCCACAGATCCATTCGACCTTGGCGGGGATAAAGCTTCTGAAGATTTTGCTGAACTCACAGAGCCATTGGTCCTTGCTGGAGATACAGCCTCTGGTATTGCCTGAATCTGTTTTCCCTCACCCATTGAACTGGACTTTCCAGATCCTGAACTGTTTAAGGGACTGGCACTGTACCGCAGACTGCTTATCCTATCCCTATGAGGACTATAAGTCGAGCTAATGCTGCTGCCTGCGCTATAGCGAAGATATCGTGTGGAATCATCCAATCGATCTGACTGAATCTCCTGGTCTGTTGTCTCACGTCTCTTTGTAGATCTTTGGATGGTCTTCTCTATGGTCTTAGCTGGATCAATGCGACGGGTTCTCTGAACGGTGGTGCTACCCGGCAGAGTGGGTGAAGTGGCTCTGGTCACCACGGAAATCGTTATGAAGGATTCTTTGGCTTCGTCATCGTTTGATGGTTGTTTTTCTACCGCTTTCTCTGGAGATTTATCCTTGTTATCGGAGACTTCCCTAGGCTTCTCCTCTTCCTCCTTTTCCTTCTCCTTTTCCTTTTCCCTTTCCCTGCTGGCCTTGGCCCTGCTGGCAGTTCTAGCATGAAAATCACTGGTGGTCAAGTAGGATAGGGCACTTCCATTTCCCGAAATCCGAGAAGCCGCTCCATAGCGACTGTTGTAGGCGTTTCTGGTGGCCGAGGAGGATGAACTGGAGGTGGTGGTGTTACCTCCACGGTATGTGGATCCCAGTTTACTCCTGGTGCTATCGATCACAGGACTCGGGTCGCGGGATTTGTTGCGATTTGTGTGCTCCAAGGCCACCGGACTGGGGTCTCGAGATCGTCCATACTTTCCCAGGGCACTGGTAGTGGTACCTGTATACCTCTTCACGGGACTGCTCCTCTCAGTCGGAGCTGCTTCCTTTGGTTCTGTCTTTGCATAGCGACTTACATAGCCGGTAGATGTAGTTGTGGTCGCTGGTGGTGGTGGATCCCTTTTAAGGCGGTACGTTCCTCCAGAAAACGAGGGTCTGTAGGAACTTGGGGTGGCCAGTGAAGTGTAGCGCGATGTGGAGTCTCCAGAAGTGCCGTACTAAAAGTAAAAGATTAAAATTAGACAAGTAATTGGTAAAATATTTGAGATACGCACCGAAGCGCTGCCAGGCTTATAGGAACTTCCCAAGCTCGTTTTCCAAGGTGTCTGAAAAAAACAGAAAAGCAAATATTTATTTAATAAATTAAAAAATACATACAAATGTAATGGGGTTCCCTTCTTTTAAAATAGGCCCCTAACATATTTGTTAAATGAATGATATGGATGATTGTGCAAATCTAAATTTATCTGAAACTAAAACTCATTCTCTCAGTGATGTCTACCAATAAATAGTGAGTGAGTGATTTCTTTATAGCTCATTGTGATCCGTGGGGTTTCTGGCAAGATCTGCATGCACTCATTCAAAAGAAATTGAAACTGATGGGCAATCACATGGCTTTGATTGATTGGCGCTCTAAGAGTCCGAAGGCAACTGACTCCAGCAAAACAAGACGAAAACAAAGTGCTGCCCCACATTGACCCCCTTCCCTCCTGGTGCACCACCACCCTCCTGGTGCACCACCACCTTCTCCATTTTCCAGGGGAATTTTCTCAATGGGCTGTGCACTCGACAATTATTCGCACGCATTTCATCATCGTCATCGCCAGCCGCAGAGGAACATCATCGGCAGCCTCAGCACATCAGCAGCATCAACATCACCATCACCATCGGATGCCAAAGAATCCCAGGGCCCCCGATTCCCCGATGGACTATTTGTGGTTGGGACCGCTGCCTCTTTGAACTCGCCCATTGCATTTTTACTCTGATTCGGTTTGGGATCTCTGCTGCTGCGTCTATTTCATTTTCAATTAAATGGCGCTGCTGCACGCGCTTTTCAATTAATTTGGACGTGTAAACAGATTCATTTCGATTATTTCAACATCTGCCTTCTAATCTCGGCCGCAGCGCATTAGACGATTGCCCTCGTCCATCGAGACACGTTCAGTTTCCCTCGGCTATAATGAAAATTGCGGGGGCCCCGACCACTTTGCCCTATCTCAATTGAGGACCGCAGGGTGGTTCGTGGGGGTCTGTGGGTTGACGGCTTTTACCCACTATATCTTTGTGGATCCGACACCCATTTAACGTTGCAAAATTCGTGTCGCCGGTTTAAAGATTTTTGGCAACACCAACGATTTTGGCTAATTATTGCAAATTATCTTGAGTGAACAGATGAAATGCTGTTGAACCCAGCATTTGTATACCTATCGACCTTAAGTACTGTTAAAGTATTCTGAATATATATTGTAACAAATATATTTAAGAAATCACTTTTAATATACCATTATATATTAAAAAATAATATAATAGTAAAATTTCTGAAATACCTAAACATTTAGTTAACCTTTTATGAACTCTAATGATTGTTGTGGAATTTCCTCTTAAAAATCCCCTCGAGAAATTTCTCTATGTAAAACACTTAAACCACGGCCTGTTCCAAGTGGCGCCAATCCCGGCGAATGACAACTATCCGGGAATATAAAATAATATTATTACATTTCCCAGTGCCCGCCCAATGTGAAGAATTGGCGAGCGAGCGAGAGGGAGTGCGGAAGAAAGACAGACAGTCTCGGCTAATTGTTTTCGCTCAGTGAAATGGAATGCCAAACACACAAATAGCCAACAATGTGCAAAACAAGCAAACGGAGACACTCAGCCGGAGGAGACTGGATGATCGTGTGGATGGGTCTATGGATCTTTTCTGGAACAGAGTCGCCATGTGTACTTTGTTCGCCGCCGATTCCAGAAAAGTGCTGCACTTCTGACAGCGTTATTATGCAGTCTCAATTAGGATAGTACAGGGACTGGAGATCAGGAGGATCGGGGGATCAGAAGCAGGATGCGCTGTAATGCGCCTGTCTGTCAGTAGCCACGGCCCATAAAGCACGGCCAGGAGAGCCATCCACTCACAGAGTATTTAGACTGTGACCCCAGATGATTTAAAGTGGCGACTGAATATTCGCGTGCCAGACTAATGATTTATTTTTAAATGTTTCTCTAGTTTGCTCTGTAAAATTTGTCGAAAATCCGTACGGCAAACTAAAATGTAAAAAAAATCAACGGTTCTCATTTTCATTGGAAAATAAATAAGGCATAAAAAAAACTTAAAAATACATTACATAACAAAGTTTTAAACAAAATCAAAGGCCTATTCATAAGTTGCCCATCAAATATCACAATTTTTATAAAATTTAAAAATATTATAAACTTTGAAAAACACTTATTTTGCATCTGTATAAATATTCACTGAACTGACCAACTGAAGCGCCCCTTTTTCCCAAGCAAAAACCACTTTTACTCCTAAGCCGATTCTATATTTAAAGCCAAACGAGTTCTCATATGGAATGGCTACTAATTCACGAATATAAACAATTTTACCAAGTCTTCAAGGACCTAACCAACTGCCAAGCTGCTAACCTACTTGGTCTAGTCCTTCTTATACCCGGCGTCGATTTGTATTTCGTTAGCTTTCGTGGTCTATTCCTTGATTTGCTTTCGGATCTTCAGATTGATCAGTTGTGTTTTGTGGTTCCGTTTTCCTATCCGTTTCGGATATCAAGCTGCCGTCATGTCCAAGGCCAGCCACAAGACCCAGGTCATGGGTTTCCGGCACGAAGGGATCCCAACTTGGAGCCTTGGCCGGATACTTGTCTATCGCATCCCGCATGGCCCGCATCCCCAGCTCGAGGGCACAGCTCATGGAGTTCCTGTCGGGTGGTTCGCGGGTAAGGGGTCCGTTGAAATGCACATAGATATCCCCCTGGGCGGTCAAATCCAGTCCGTAGGTGGTCAGATCCTCGCCGAAGACCAGTTGCGTGGCTCCCGGATCCGTGTGAGTACTTCTCATGGCAGACAGGAGTCCTATCATCCCAAACCGATCACTCAGCATGGTGGGCGGAATATTGGTGAATTTTCCATCAGCTGTACTGCGAATTCCTGCCGCATGTGACGTTCTGGGAGAAGTGGACGAGTCCGGTCCCTGCAACACCAATCCGTAGGATGGTTGACCAAAAATATCGGAAAACGTGGGCACCGGCGGCTGACGATCATAGAGTTCCGGAAAGAGTTTGTATTCGGACTCAATTCCAGAATCTATGCTCGAAGTGGAGGCAATTTCCGGTGGCTCTTCGCTGGGTGGTTCCGGAGGGGGCGGCGGGCGTGGCGGCTCCACTTTCGGACGATTGGCGGTGTTTTCCTGGTTCTTCTTCCTTATCGCTATTGAGGGATTCACCTTGCAACGGGGACGACGACGCCGCGGCATTCTTAGTTTTTTATCAAAAATATCCTTTCCGTGTAAGTGTGAGTGTGGGTGGCTGTTGGATGGCAGTTGGGTTTGTTGTATGGTTGTTGAGTGACTGTGGGTGGATAATCTCAGACTCAGATAACTTGAATAAAAAATCCTGATCTCGAAACCTTTTGAGAAGCGCCTAGCACCGCCTTCCTTTCTGCTACACTACAAAAATTTGGATATGCTTTGATAAGTGATTCAAAAAAAACTTGATCGTAAGTAATAACAGAATCACATTTATTTGGCTGCAAGCTCTAAATGCATTTAAACTCCATGGTTAAACTCCAACACTTTTCTGAAAACTGCATCAAAACTGCACTTCTAAATTCCATAGCTTCAGTTATTTAATCCTGATTTAGACGTGGGATACCTCTATAAGTTTGTGGTTAAATTCTTTAAAAATCTTTATTAAAATTTGTATATTTAACGATGGTCAAAATTTTAAGCCATTTTCATGTTCGATTTTTCCGTAATTCCAATGGTTGTCAGAATGGGGACCCAAAACTGCACTTCTAGATTCCATAACTTGAGTAATTTGATTCCGATTTCGACGTGGGATACCTCTATGAATTTGTGGTTGAATTCTCTAATAATCCACATTCAAATTAATATTTTTAACGAGGGTCCAAATTTTAGCCCTTTTTCATGTTCGATTTTTCCGTAATTCCAATGGCTGTCAGAATGGGGACCAAAACTGCACTTCTCGATTCCATAACTTGAGTAATTTGATTCCGATTTCGACGTGGGATACCTCTACGAATTTGTGGTTGAATTCTCTAATAATCCACATTCAAATTATTAATTTTAACGAGGGTCTAAATTTTAGCCCATTTTCATGTTCGATTTTCCGTAATTCCAATGGCTGTCAGAATGGGGACCTAAAACTGCACTTCTAGAATCCATAACTTGAGTAATTTGATTCCGATTTCGACGTGGGATACCTCTATGCATTTGTGGTTGAATTGTCTAATAAACCACATTCAAATTATTATTTTTTACAAGGGTCCAAATTTTAGCCCATTTTCATGTTCGATTTTACCGTAATTCCAATGGCTGTCAGAATGGGGACCAAAACTGCACTTCTCGATTCCATAACTTGAGTAATTTTATTCCGATTTCGACGTCGGATACCTCTACGAATTTGTGGTTGAATTCTCTAATAATCCACATTCAAATTATTATTTTTAACGAGGGTCTAAATTTTAGCCCATTTTCATGTTCGATTTTTCCGTAATTCCAATGGTTGTCAGAATGGGGACCCAAAGCTGCACTTCTAGAATCCATAATTTGAGTAATTTGATTCCGATTTCGACGTGGGATACCTCTACGAATTTGTGGTTGAATTCTCTAATAATCCACATTCAAATTATTAATTTTAACGAGGGTCTAAATTTTAGCCCATTTTCATGTTCGATTTTCCGTAATTCCAATGGCTGTCAGAATGGGGACCTAAAACTGCACTTCTAGAATCCATAACTTGAGTAATTTGATTCCGATTTCGACGTGGGATACCTATATAAATTTGTGGTTGAATTCTCTAATAATCCACATTCAAATTATTATTTTTAACGAGGGTCTAAATTTTAGCCCATTTTCATGTTCGATTTTTCCGTAATTCCAATGGTTGTCAGAATGGGGACCCAAAACTGCACTTCTAGATTCCTTAACTCGCGTAATTTGATTCCGATTTCGACGTGGGATACCTCTATGCATTTGTGGTTGAATTGTCTAATAAACCACATTCAAATTATTATTTTTTACAAGGGTCCAAATTTTAGCCCATTTTCATGTTCGATTTTACCGTAATTCCAATGGCTGTCAGAATGGGGACCCAAAACTGCACTTCTAGATTCCATAACTTGAGTAATTTTATTCCGATTTCGACGTCGGATACCTATATAAATTTGTGGTTGAATTCTCTAATAATCCACATTCAAATTATTATTTTTAACGAGGGTCTAAATTTTAGCGCATTTTCATGTTCGATTTTTCCGTAATTCCAATGGTTGTCAGAATGGGGACCCAAAACTGCACTTCTAGATTCCATAACTTGAGTAATTTTATTCCGATTTCGACGTGGGATACCTCTATGCATTTGTGGTTGAATTGTCTAATAAACCACATTCAAATTATTATTTTTTACAAGGGTCCAAATTTTAGCCCATTTTCATGTTCGATTTTACCGTAATTCCAATGGCTGTCAGAATGGGGACCCAAAACTGCACTTCTAGATTCCATAACTTGAGTAATTTTATTCCGATTTCGACGTGGGATACCTCTATGATTTTGAAGTCGAATTTTTTAATAATCCATATTCAAATTATTATTTTTAACGAGAATCAAATTTTAAACTCATTTACATGTTCGATGTTCCGTAATTCAGAATCGGAACCCAAGGCTGCACTTCTACTCAAGTAATATTTGAATGTTTTTTTTATAACGAAACAACATTTATTTTCATAAAATATTAGCTTGATCCTTTTTTTCCAACCCTGTTTCCGATCCCCCGATACCATCCCCCACTTTCTGGGTTTGAAACAAATTGCATGAATATTCACACTTTGTTAATTAATTAGGTGGTGCGTGCTCCGCTGCTCTCACCGAAGAACTTTCAACTTTATGCGTGTCATAAATATTTACAACTTCCTCCTGGCCATAAAAATCCTCAATAAAGTACCAACTCCAACGAGAAAGCAAAGACTGCGTCAACGTGAAAGAAACAGAAATCATTTTGCTTTACTCTCAACATTTTTAGAAACATTCTAAATATAATTGGAGAAATGACTCGGGCGAAGATGCAGTGGAAAAAGTGGTGGGGAGGGGTGAAAACTTCTTGTTTGCCGGCCATAAATTGATCAGTTTATTTGATTCTGAGACCCGAAAAATATTTAATTGATTTATGCCCAATGAGTCAAAAGTCAGGCTAAAGTCATAAACTTGATGTCTGGGAACAAAAGGATATAATGAGTTGAACACGAAGGAGATTAGGTGAAAAGCGATCAAAAGAAGGGGGATGACAACCAAAATTAGTTGGTTGTATTGGGATTATAAGCTGGATATTAAGTTGTTATAAATTATCATGCAACCTCGGAAAAATAACCAACGAAAAAACCCCTATTTAAATTAGTCTAGTGAAAATAATAAATCAATCAAAATATACACATCTTAAGAACTGACTGCCAATATTCAGTAGCAATCATGAAATATACTATAAAATTTGTCAAATATCTCAAACAAATATACTTTAACCATTGTGCATACGCAAGTACTAACATAAATCAAATTAAATACGTTTAAAATTCGCCATTTAGTATGCTTTACCAAAATAAATGCCATTTATTCATGCATTTGTTGGCTATTCAAACACTTAACCATTCGTTCATTCGGTAGCCACACCTCAACCATAATTTGAACACTTTGTATGGATAGGAAACTAGAACAATCAACTAAGCGAAAATCCAGATCAAAAACCAGACAATGAGCAAATTTGTGTTGGAATTGTTTATCAATGGAACTGGAGCTCGCCCAAACGAGAGCAAACTTTCCGATACATTTTATTTGCCATCTAATATTGTGTATATGTATGTATCTGCCAAATACTCGTGCATGAGGTAAGGCAACAAATTAGAAATAAACAAAATCCGTGGATGCGAAGAATTGCGAAAAAGACACAGAGCGAAGATACACAGATCGAGATACACACTATATAGTACGAGTACGTGTGTAGATACAGATACGGATAGTTGGCGCTGCATTAACTAGTACTTACATAACTGCGGTAGGACGACATTACGTTGCTTTTGGCAAGCGGTCCTCGTAGAACGTAGTTTCAAAATTCGGTCACAATATGTTTTGGTCCCTTCAAAAATCGCACGTAGGTATAATTTATTTTGGGCCTAGCTGGGTAATCCAATCCGGCAGAGAATCGCGCGAGATCGAAACGGAGCAACTCGAACCACTGACGACAATTACGAAAACGTATCTGGCGGATGCACTCGGCGAACGCCTCTCAATTGCAATAGATGCAAAATAAATTAGATGCACTTACTGAAATCGCGCGCGTGCGACAAATTTCTACGGATCCTCAACGACACTCTCTGTATTCCCCTATTTTATTTTCATTTTATTCATTTCTTTGGTAAACTTTCATTCCGTTCCCTTTGTTTTTTCGCGCTCGGCGATATTCCGAGATCGGGATCGGCCGTGTGCCACTTTACATAATCCACCGGCACGCACCGGCCAGGTTGGGAATGGGATATATATGTAGTATACTGCAGTGAGTGCTATATAGTATAGTATAGCGCCCCGATCTATTTGGGAATGCAGCCGGCAAATGCGACAGAATCGGACGCGAACGCGGCGCTTTATTTATGCGTTGATATTTTTCTTATTTTCCTATTTTCCCATTTTCCATCTACGTTTTCCTCACGACGGCGGACGCATCACTTTTGCTTTTATTTCAATTTACTTTGGGAGCAGGCACAACTTAAGCTGTTATTTATAAATTTAGCAACATTCACACACTCGCTGAAAGATTTTGTCGCATGCAAACGCGATTTTTGTTTCAGTTCTCGATTTTTTGGTAGCCCACAGGAAAATCGAATCGGTGCCGAAAAGAAAATCGTGTGCGACTCGGCGCGTTGTCAAAGGAAAACTGTCTGGCCGCTGTGAAAATATTTTCGTGCCGAGATTTTTCCTCGCACCGAATTGCGTAAAAAGCTGAGCGGTGGAAAGTCTCCGCCTCTCTCTGACTTTGGCTGTGCGTGTATTTTCGGCAAGCGAGAGAATCGCTGAAGAAGCTCTCGGAGATTCTGCCGGCTCTCCTCCGTAAGCGATCGCTGCGTTTGTAAATTGCAATAGAGAAATAAATAAAAGTTCTCAACATACCCTTAAAAAGGGTATACTACTTTAAAAAAACTCAAAATTGACTGCCTTGAAAGATTGTCGCCCAATTTGCCAAACGAATTTGGTAAACTCTCTCTTGAACGGACAATCTCTCCCTTAAGCGGACAGCTTTATATTTTGTGACTAGCTTTCAATTGGACAGACAATAAACTATGTCATTATTATGTTTTATGAATAGTAAGACTCTTAACCAAGTAATTATAAAATAATTTATGAATACTGAAACATGAATTCTTCAGAGAACAAAGTAGCAAGCTTACCTATTACAAGTTTAGTATTTGTCAAAAGATCTTTAACACGTAACACAAATTAAATTTAATGTACATAAGACTTGTAATTTTCACAGACAAAGAAAATATTAATCGTAACAAAGAGCATTTAACTTTAAGTCCCATCATCGAATCATCTTTTCCCATTCCCGTGTGTATCTGGTCCGCATATATCTGACAGAAATCGGCCAGCCGGCTGGCTATATGTGCCAGCTTCTTGATTTCAACTACCGCAATGTAAGGAAATGCGTAAAAATTCTTGTAATGCTCATAAAATGCAACTCGAAAGTATTTTGCATCTATTTGGGCTGCTTCATTCCATCTCAGATATGTTATTTCCCTCTATTTTTAGTGGAATAATTTAATTGAAATATTTTTGTCATCGGTGACTAATCGATGAGTGGGCGCAGAATGGTAGGGGAGGGAACATGTACTGGGGTATCCAGAAAAAGACTTAAAAAAGTATGTATGATGCAAACGATAATTGTCACCTACAGATACAGATGCAGTCTGTCATGTTCCCATGAATGAAAGACAGCGAAAGGGAGGCCAACAGTTGACGGGGGTCTACAACCTGATGAGGTGTCCCCTCAGATTATACTTTTCACTACGAAGAAAAGGGAAAATTACGATTTGGCTCAACTAAACATAAAAATTCCCTCAGACAATGTCTGGCTAGATTTATGTGCCAATTCGAGATCATATACTTGATGGTTGGTGAAATTAAAAGTTAATGGTTTGTAAAATAGTCCAAGAAACTTTGAGTTTACAATTATATCAGGATATTGTTTACTCTTTAAGGATTTCGATTGACTTAAGCTTTTTATATAATATATTGTTTTGTAAAATTTATATATTATTGTTGTAGTAAATTATTTAGTAATAACATATTATAATCGGATATTACCATAATTATTTAATATTATTACATTAATGATTCATACTCGAAATATTTTTCAGAACTTGTATGCTCCATACTTTTTATTTTCATAATTTTTTGTATATTCCCCCTGATTTAATTCCCCTAATAGCATGGATTCCCCTTACTTACCAACTTACTTACCCTCTGCCCCCAGGCATTATTCGGTTCATTTGTGTATCACAGAATACCCGAGGAAACTATCACAGATATCATGCAGAAGACAACGTCACATATCGCATATTTGTTCTGGTTTTAAAAATAAAAATCTGTGTGCCACTTTTGCAGTTGCCACTGCTGCCGGCAGTCACCGGAAACGTGCGGCTAAAAAGATGACGTCTAAATACGAAATAAAACTGGCACTCGTTGGCTTTAGTAAAAACATTTAAACTAAATATGCGCAAAATGCCAAAAAGCATGCGAGGGAAATGGAATGCTTGCGCTGTCTGCGCCATAAATCAGATAGAGATACTAAATTACCAGGGAAAAAAAAGGGAGAGGAAAATAGCCAAAGGCACTGGCTTCAATGGGCTAATAGCCCCCGGCAAAGTGGCTCGACACTTTGACGAAAGACACGCAGGGGCGGCGTCTTAACCCAATCTGACCGACAGATACAAATAGCTTTCAGCGCTGCATTAAAAAATATAAAAGATCCTCAACAGGCGTGCATTTCGCATGCTTTCCACAAATATTTTCCCAGTGCGTGCTGCCGGCAGAGACGCCAACGCAACCCAGAAAAAACTGAAAACTGAAAAACCCGAAACCCCAAAAACCAAATGCCGAATGCAAACAAATCAAGAGGAACGGCGGTGGAAAACTAGAAACGGATTTTGGGCAGGCAATAAAAAGAAATACACCGACAGCCATAAAAGTCAGACCCGGCAATCCCCGGGAGCAACGGCTAGGTGCACCACGCAGTCGGTCAATCATGCTGCCCCACGCCACTCATCTGCAGAGAAAAAAATATGGAAATACTAGTGAAAGGAAAGGCAATTCAATTTTAAAACGTTTAAAAAAATATTACTTCAACCATCCTTACCATTGAAAAGATCTTATAAATAGAAGCTACACCATAAATAGTAAAGCAGTCTTTTAAACATATATGTATATTTTTAATGTCAAATAAAATGTTACAGTATTCATTTGATAATAAGATTTTTTCTAAGTGCTTGCCCCGGGCTCCTATGGGATGCGATCTCTTCGCCGAACGCTGCTCCATCTTCATCCGCATCCCAGTGGCCGATCTCTGGGCCTTTCAATCATTTCGTACAATTTTCAAATTGTAATTTACGAGTGTGTCTGCGGTCGTTTTGGGGCGTGCCCTCAGCGACAGATTATGCAATGAAAAGATGCAAACTCTAGTTAATAAAACGAACATAGGCGATGTTACTAGGGGGAGGCATTCGAAATTGGGGGAATCCCGGGACCCGGGGATCAGGGATCTGGTATAGGGGCGGCGCTTCGAGCAGATGCGATTTGTTTGCGTGCACATTAAATGCAATAAAAGCCGAGAAAATTGATTTGTGGTTAGAGACTTTTGGGGGAAAGTTCCCATGAAGTAGCTCCCCAGATAAAAGATGCTAATGCCTACAGCAAACATTATAAAATTAATTATTATCGTTGGAATATTTTTAAATGTGTTGTTCATTACGTTTTTAGCATAAATACACATTTTTTTTAGCTAATTATCAAACGCCTTCTTTTTAACACATTGCTCTCTTGGAATTTAGATTTCACAGGTGGTTTGCTTAGCCAGTTCATAAAAGTATATATAAAAATTTGTTTATATTTATATGGCCATGGTACATTAAACATATTTTGACTTCTTCCGATTTAAGTTGCCATGTCACAGCTAAATACAAAAAGCTCCTATTTGCAGTTAATAGTTTTTGGTTTATGTTTTTGTTAATTTTCTTTTTTATTTACATCTCATTTTCCGCTCGGCTGTAGATGGATGGCTATTGCCACACATTCGTCTCACATTTTTCCCATTTTCCAGGCAGCGATTTGCTCCGTTTTGGTGTGCTAATATTTAATTTAAATATTGTATTTTGCCGCGGCCTTTTGCTGTTGTTCTTAACCAACCTCACTGCGTGTTGCAATCTTCAAGCGGATTTGTTTGCTTTTTTCCGTCAAATATGTGGGGGATGTGTTGTTGTTTGGGCTGCTCATAGCCCAGTGGACTGAGGATTTGATCGCCGTTTCAAGGTTGCCTTGCATGGAGCTGTTGCTAGAAGTGTGTGTCTGGGTCTCAAGTATTTCTCTATGGTTCTTTCATGGGAATATTACGTATACGCATTGCGTATACGCAGAGGCAGGGGCAATGGCTAAAGGGGACTTTATTTTATTTAATGGATATGTAGTGAGCAATTATTACTTACTTAAGTAAATATTTTCAAAAATAGTATTCCCTTTAAAGTATATATTCTTAAAACACCCCTTTATAAGTCCGCCCCTGAACCGATCTATCTTAATCGGATGCAGCCTGTTGATATTTGTTGATACTTTTTATCGTAGTACTTAGAGGTAGCTTATGTCAGAAGCGCTGATAGCTATCTGAAGAGCCTTTTCTTGCTTCATTTGAAGTGGTTTATAATTCGATTTGGCAAGCACTGACAATGTCTATAAGAATTGCTCGGAATTTGTTGCAAAACAAATTCAAACTAATCCAAACAAATTTAAAATTTTCACCCGCCAAATAGAAAAAAGCTCTTTAGATACACCTTTTCAAAAATAGTTTACAAAACTTTTGGCAAGTGTTGCCAGCTAAAATATCTTTCCAATTTCTATATATAAATCCACCACAGAGAAAAGCGAAAAATGCGACGAAAACAAAACGACAAGGTGGAACGTAAAAAGATCGCTTATTGCGAAAATAAATTGAAAAGAGCTGGAGTAAATATTTAATTGTGAAATCGGGATCACCAGGGAAAGTACCTAGGGTGTGAGCGCAATAATGTTGTTTAATTAGTGATGAAAAATTGAGTTGACTTCTGCAGATCGCCGAAAATCATAACAATGGCCCTTGTGCTGGTGCACCTCCGGCGCCTTATTCTCCTGCTGACCGTCGTCTACCTCAGCGGAGCGGTATTCCGCCGCCTTCTCAGCGAGCGACACCACGCTCACATCCTGCAGGGAAATGGTTACATGGCCCTCGGACGTCTTCGAGGAGGCGGAGGATCCAAGGAACCCTACCACTTCCAATGGTGGGCCTACATCTATACCTGCTATGCCTACGCCGTCCTGGTCAACTACGTCAGCATGCGCCGGCTGACCAACCTCATTGAGTTCTTCTTGAACTGAAACACTTCGGTTTAATTTAAATATCTAAATAGTTTGAATAAAACAGTTTTGTTATGTTATAATGTCATCGATTAATTAGGTGTCCTTAACTATTTCAAATTGCCTAAGATTTTCCATTTATCTTTTTAAAATTATTATATTCTCGTTTTTCTCTGTTCTGTATCCAGCTCAAAAATGCAATGTTTTTGAATCAAGGCTCTTCCTTTTCCATTTTTCCTGATCTTTCTAACAGAAATGTTAAGATTTTTCTAACATTTCTGTTAGATTTTGATACATCTAACAGTGCTGTTAGATTTTAATACATCTTAACATTTCAGTTATTCTTTGAGAAATTTTAAAATATGGTTTGTGTCCATACTATTTACTGCTCTTATAAAATACAAAATATCTACATAGACTTACGTTACAAAACGGAATGGCGCCCCCTATATGTTGAGCTTATTTTAAGCCGCCATCTATGAATGAGCTTTGGGCAGGTTCGCGCATTGGCTTTAAGGGAAGGTTTCCCCGCTTAAGGAGTCTGCTAACAACAGGGCTCTGTAACAGCAGCTCGTTCGATTCTGATATAGTATAGACACAAACCATATTTTAAAATTGCACAGAAATTAAAAGAATCAAGCGTTGCCAGACCGAAAGAGAAAGTCGGGGTTGGTGTTACCAGATTAAGAAAAATATGACTTATATTCATAAAGAGGAAGAACACATGGCGCCTTGATTCAAAAATGTTGCATTTTTGAGCTTGATAAAAGTGTAGGAACAGGGAAGAACGAGAATGGATAATATAAAAAATAGAAGAAAAAAAGATAAATGGGGTTGAAGTTAGAGCTTAGAAAAACTGATGAGGAGGTAGACAACATCATTTCAGAGCCACGGTGAGTTTTTGAATTTGATTACATCTAACTTGAAAATGAATTAATTTTATAATTTTGCACATCATTGTAGATCTAGGAGTCTGAGATCCGTGCAGAACGCAGCAACTCTAAAAGCAGCAAAGATGGTACCGAACTGGAACGCTACAGATATCCACCCCTCCGAGGTTTTCGTAAGTATAGAGAAGCCATTTACCCTCTATAAAAGTCATACAGTTTGATCGGGGCTTGGACTTTTATTGGTGATACCTTTTATTTGAATAGTTTGGATATCGACTTTGGTAAGAAATATTTTGCCTATCCCCAGGTCATAAAATGGAACCAACATGTCCTCCTGCATGCATTCTTTTCAGAAGATCCCTACGGGGCGGTGGTGGTGTCAACGGTTTACTCTGCATCCTTCCATTCATTATAACAACCCAGCTTTCAATAATTTTTATTCATAACAAAACTAAACAAAACACCTCTGAATCAGAAACTTGTAAACAATCAAAAATAATTCCGGAAATATATATGTATATACATATATCTGTTCATTATGTATACTTATTCATTAAGAATCCATAGATACAAATGTCCGATGACAACGCTGTTAAGATCATTTACATTAAACACGACAAATATTTAGCGCAAAACTCACACAAACATTTAAATTTAATTAAAAACGTCAAATGTAATTTTTTCACCGGCGACAATAATTAAATTTCGATTGCATTTAGCATCACGATCTGCAAATATTTTTGATGATTAATCGGTAAGACAAAAATAAAAAAAACTTGACCAGCGAATATTAAATACCCTTTAAGGCGCAGAAAAAATATTTAATTTAAGAAAGGTTTAAAATATTTTTAAAAATATTATTGTTTTTGAAGTTGTACTGATGGCCATAAAATCACCGTTTTATTAGGCTGACAAGTTAATGAAACTCTGCCTTGGAATATATCTGTCAGCAGCCTATTTCCTTGGTAAGATCAACATGCAAGAGAAAGAGTAAATGTGTGGATACAAAAAAAAAGCTTAGAGTATTGGTAGTAGTAGTTTTATTTTGGCTGTCTATTTATAAAATCAGAATCTATTCATAAACAGATTACGTTCTTCCTGAAATTCTTCTGTATTACTCAAGGAGAGCGGTGTTTTTATTTATTTAGTTAATATTGATATTGTACAAGCAATTCATTATACCTTTTTGAGCACAACTCTTGCTCTAGATCGGCTCTGAATATTATAGAATATTTCACGCCTTCGTGCACCCACCAGCCCATATATCTTGTACAGAATATATCTTAGCATGTTTGCCGTATTTTTCATCCGAATGAGTCAGATATGTGCGCCACGTCACAGCCCGATGTCGAAGCTATATGGCTATAAGGCCAACGGATAGTGGGTGCCATCGGGATCGGGACATGCAAAATCCCAGATTTGTCAACGGCACATTTCCACTGGTCATACAATGGCTATTGACATTATGAGGGCAGCGTTTGTGATTCATCAGCCAGATGATTGGAAGTTGTCAACGCCAAGTGGCGAGCAGAAAAGTGGAAAATTCGCGAAAACCCCAGAACCGGGAAGCAAAGTGGTCGCTTTTCCAGGGAACTGCCTTTGTTCTTTCGCTTCGAATGCATTAGGGATCTATTTATGACCAGCGATGGCTGGGAATTTTCACCACCACCCACCTAGAAGTTGGAGCCGCCGATGGCGCCCACTTGAGCCCATCCGGCAGCCACTCCACTCCTGGGAAAGGCCAAAGAGGAGTATCTTGCAGAAAGTGGCTGCTCGTCAAGTAGGCGCACACACTCTATAAAGCTGAAGTCGATCTATATATAACTGCATAGCAGCGGGCCCCGCGATGTGTGCGTGTGTATCTGTGATCATAACAATTTTGACCTAATTTTGTATAGCTGGCACACGAAACATGAAAGAAACAGAAGACACCCAACGGACGCTGAGTGATTTCTGTCTTGAGGTGGATGTAGGAAAAATGGGATTCAGAGTGGGAATGGCAATGGGGATGGGGAACTGGGAACTGGGATCCTGTCCCCATCACTGACCTCAGTGCAGCTGTAAAATGATGGGCAATGGGCCGGAAAACTCACACAGACACCTGGCAAGCAGGCATCAGCGGAGATTTGCCCATTCCGAACCCAAATCGTGATGAGAATGGGATTTCTTTTTTTTTTGACTTGACTAAAGGTGTCGTTGTCTGGCTTGGTTCTATTTTTGGCCGACTTATTTATCGGCGAACGGCTTGCTACATATTCGCCAGGTTATTTTTAAATTATTACACATTCCAAAATGTGGCAAACACACAAAATGTTAAATATTATTCTACGGCTGCCTGGCGCGCACTTATATATATAAATGTTCAGAGAGTAGCGGCAACATTGTATGGGTGGATGCATAAAATAAATAAAGTTATGGCCAGGCAGAGCTAAGTATCTACAAGATACCGATGCGAACGGAGCAAAAAACTGCTCTTATATATAAGGATGGTTAGCCCATCTAGACCTCTGGATGTGTGTGTGTGTTAGCCTCAGGTGAAATGTGTGTGGAAAATGAACACGATTATGAGCAAGCCGAAAAGAAAGGCAGAAATAACATGAAATTCGGTTGCTAAAAATAAGCGAAAAATCATTTTTAAGTATAGTGAGGCGAGTGTGTTTGTGTGTGGAGCACAGGTGGAGGAGACCGCTCGAAAACGAAAATTTTCACTCAAAAAGCTTCGGCTTCTTTGGACAACCGAGCCAAAATCCCACTCGAAATGTAACAAACTTATTTACAAAATATACATTTACTATGGGCACATGGAGCTTCTCGTCAGTTGCCAAAATATATGTATTCTTAGACAGTCATCTACGTGACCATTGAACAACAATTGTTAGATGACAACGCATTGTCTGTGGTTGAGCAGACTTTTGTCCACATGGCCAAGGATTCACTCAAAATTGTATATTTTTGTTTATTTCGTACACTTTTTTTTCGCTCTCTACGCTTATTTATTTATGCTGGCGAATAACACGTTTCGATGCCAAAAGTCAAGTATTTTTAGAAAACATTGCTGTAATCCTAATTGGCTGTTAGCGAATAATTTTAAAAGCATATCATAGAAATTTTTGACACTTTTATGATTTTTCAGCAGGCTTAAAAATGTTGTAATGCCGTCGAGATCAGCATAGCATATATCTATGGGCCCTATAATTGGCTAGGGATTGCATACATATTTTCAGCTCTATTCAATGTTATTCAACAAATATAAAATCAATCAGCGAAATAGCAAGCCAATATTTATTCGCCGAACACCACAAAAAAGGTATATTATTTTAAAACAAGTTTGAAAAGGTAATCGCCTTTGTATCCTAATAAAGTGAGCTTGGGCTCCCCTGATTAAATCCAAATAACTAAATGATTTTGAACGGTTTTCGAGTTGGTAAGTTCGGCCCCTTTAAGTTCCAGAACTGGGGGCATAACACACCCCTTTATCAAGGGGCTACGTGCTGGAACACTGATTTGGCAGTGCAGTACAAGCAAACAAAAAGATATTGCCGAGGCCCCTGAACCAACAAAATTAGCCAATAAATATAAATTATGAACTTTATGATCTGCAGAAGTTGCCAAATATTTCAACATGACATATATGTACGAGGGAGAATTGGGAAAATTTATGTGTAGATACATTCTGGCCAGACGCTAGATACACAAAATGAAACGCACAAATGACACAGGCTAATTACAGGTAAGCAAAAGAAAAGAAAAGCTGGCGTACTTCGTGTTTTTGAGTTTATTTTCGTAGGGGGCAAGCTCTTAGCCAAACTAGCGTGAAAATGCGTTCACACAAGCGGCGGCCAAAATGAAAAATCAAAGAATTTTCCACACAACTGAGCAATTAACACAACAACACGGGCCGCGTGAAAAGTCACTCGAAGTCCCACTCACCGTGGGGATATATCTATATATCTCGAGATATATCCCACTCGGATCGGAGGAGAGCCGATGGCAAACGAATATCGCCGAAGGGAGCCGAAGAAATCGTTGAAATAGACGAATTCACCAGCGACCAGCGGCCAAACCAACGAAATACTCTTTATTCGAACGACAACGGGATCTCTTGTTCAGTAGATCACCAGCCTTACTCCGACGTTTATTACGAATTTTCTCGGTGACTCGGTGACAACTACAAAACTGCGTGCGGTGCTGTAGAGATTTTCGCTT